CTAATTAGTTCAACCTCTCTTTTAACAGTTACCGGAACTTAGCCTTTGTTGTTCCCAAACGTAATTTTATCAAATTTAATTACAAACTTCCTCGGCAGTAAGTAGTCCAATCCTAATATGCATTCGTCTTCATTGTCAGCCAAGTATGCTTTGTGTCTGTCCTTTATGCCAATGAGCTCAATAATTACCCACACTAGTCCCCACAACCTTGGAGAATGTCCTGTCACACCACAAAGCTTCTGAATGGCTTCTGGTACTCCTTCGTGATCTAACACCTTGATGCTCACAAGGGTTTGCTGAAACGCAGAATCTGTGACAAAGTTGCACCTTTGGCCATCCAGCTTTCTTGTAACATAGACACTATGTGTGGCTGGCATTTTACACCTAGCTGTTGGGACTTTCACGACTTAATATTTCTTCTTTATATTGCTACGACAGCGGGGGTCACGTGACGCTAGTAACTAGAGTTCGTGCTAAAGGGGAGAGCCTGCAAGAGCTGGCACAGGATTTGTAAAGTATGGTACACAAGGCCTACCCAACTGCACCGCTCGATGTCCTCAAGTTGTTGCTAAGGAAACAGTTTGTAGACGCTTTGGACAGTCCACACTGAAGATACAAGTAAAGCAAACACATCCTTCTAATATGCAGAATGCAATGGCCAGAGCTCTTGAATTTGAATCTTACGTTATGTCCAGCACAGAGGAACCAAGGTAAGTACAGTCATGAGGCCAGAGAAGGGCAGCTTTCAGAGAAGTTTGAGGGACTTTGCTGGCACTGTAACAAAGCTGGGCATAAGAAAGCTCAATGCTGTAAATTTCAACACAGGGAAGATGCCACGGCAGGAATGGCTGCTACCTAGTAAGGTTGCTGGAACTGTGGAGAGCTAGGACATATGAGGAGCCAGTGTAAGAAGAATACTACCAATAAGCCTGCTTTGGGTGACCAGTAATGGTTGGTGCTGAGGGACACCCACCAGTCCCCATTGTAAAATTCCCAACAGCTAAGTGTAAAATGGTAAGCACACACGGTGTCTACGTGACAGGAAAGATGGATGGCCAAAAGTTCAACTTTGTCATAGATTCTGCATCTCAGCAAACCCTTGAGAGTATCAAGGTAATAGATCACAAATGAGTATCAGAAGCCATACAGCAGCTCTGTGGTGTGACAGGACATTATTCAAGGTTGTGTGGACCAGTGAGGGTAACTATTGAGCTCATGGGCTTAAAGGACAGAAACAAAGTACACTTGGCTGAGATTGAAGACCCATGAATATTAAGTTTGGACTATTTACTACTGAGGAAGTGTATAGTTAACTTTGATAAAATGACGTTTGGAAACAACAAAGGTCAAATGCTGGTAAGTGTTAAACGAGAGGTTGGATTAACCAGGTGCCATCAAGCTGAAGTCAAAATGACTGAAGGATTTGATGAAGGTGAGGTAGAACCAAGTATAGATATTGAAGCAGAAGAGGAGAAAGACCAAGATTTGAAGCCAATAATTGATGTTATACAAGCAAGCTTTTTGGACCCTGCTTGGGAAAAGGTGTCGGGCTTAGGCCCCGTGACAAAGAACCATTGGTCACAATGGGACCAGTTGAGGCTTCAAGATGGTATTCTTGTCCGGAGATGGGAAACTGCAGATGGGAAAGTGATGGCCTGGCAAACATTTATACCGAGAAAGTTGTGCTGCGTCAATCCCATGACAGTTTAACAGGAGGACATTTAGGAGTTAGGAAGACATTGAGTCACCTACGGCAAAGATTTTACAGGATAGATATCAGGCTAGATGTGGAAGAATGGTGCAGGTCATGCAGTACATGTTTTGCTAAAAGGGGATTCAAGCATAAGGGACGTGCTCCAATGTAGTTATATGAAGTTGGTGCACCAATGGAAAGAGGGACCATTAACACTGCTGGTACATTTGTGTGGTGATGGATTATTTCATCAAGTGGCCTGAAGCAAATGCAATACCAAATCTGGAAGCTACAACTGTAGCTTCGGCTATTAAGGCTTTCCTCTTCAGATTCGGTATGCCATACGATCTGCATTCGGATCAAGGTGGTAACTTTGAATCACCTGTGTTCCATGAATGCTGCAAGTTCTTTGGCATACGAAAGACCAGGACAACGCCACTTCACCCACAGTCTGATGTGATGGACACTGGGACAGGAATTGACAAAGTTTTTAATAGCCGCCAAGATGACTGGGATGTCTTACTCTCTCCACTATTGATGGCCTATAGAACAGCAGAACATGAAGCCACTGGATACACTCAAGCAAAGTTTATGTTTGGTCGGGATCTTCGGTTGCCCGTGGACCTGATAACAGAACGCCCACCCAAATACTTGCCTGAAAATGTGTCAGAGTTCGTGTTATGTTATCTTGAATGATGGATATTTATAACCAAGTGCGTTCAAAACGTCTACTGATTCCATGAAGCTATGTTATGATAAGAGATCTACTGAAGTCAGCTTTGTACCAGGAGACAAGGTGTGGTTGTATAATCTCAGGAAGACAAAAGGGAAGTCTTCTAAGTTGTCTTCTCCATGGGAAGACCCATATGACATAGTGGATCGTCTCTCAGACGTGATTTTCCGAATAAAATATGGTTGGGGAGGTAAGCCAAAGGTGGCGCATGTGAACAGGCTTTGTCATTATCACGGTCATGAACAATTCATTTAGAAGAAAGCGAACAACGGAACAAATGACAATGCTGAAGATGTGTCACTTGAAAAAGCCACTGTCGAAGAAGAAACCCGGTTTTGAGAAGGGAAACAGTGAAGCCCTTAATGAAGTTACTACCACTGATGTGATTG